GGATAGCTCTATCAGTTCTAAACTGTTCTTCCTAGAGGTCCAGTAAGGATCATCTCTTATTGATCCAGTGTTACTACAGGAGGAAATCTAAACTAAACTAACTTTATTTATACTGGATAGCTCTATCAGTTGTAAACTGTTTTCCCTTAAGGGTCATCTCTTATTGATCCAGTGTTACTACAGGAGAAAACCTAAACTAAACTAACTTTATTTATACTGGATAGCTCTATCATTTCTAAACTGTTCTCCTTAGAGCTCCAGTAAGGACCATCTTTTATTGATCCAGTGCTACAACAGGAGAAATTAAACCTAAACTAACTATATTTATACTAGATCGCTAAGCAGTCCATTAAGAACCATCCCTTATTGTTCCAGCGTTTGAAGGAAACATGAACTAAAATCGTTTTATTTATACTGTATAGGTTCTGTGATAATATCGGGATTGTCATGTAAAGAAATTCTCTATGCCACTGTGATGCAGAGTATTCTTGTTGGTTGTTCAATCCTGTCCATTGTAGTCAGTCAATTTGTGGCATTTATATCGATACGTGCTCTGAGTGGGACGGGACAGGTAACACAATTATTCATTATTCTTTCAATAATTTTTATTATCGTTGTAATGGTAATGGAGAGTACAGATCATTTTTAAAAGTCAGTGTTTTGACTGAAGCAAAAGGTCTTGACATTCCCCAAAACGATTGGAGTAGTTTGACGATTTGAAAGAATAAGTCTGTATTCTCTAGTCCCCCTTTGAATTTGGGAAAAATTTTCAGATTTCTTAAAACAGTTAAGCCTGTATGGTTTGCACTATCAACGTTTCTGTGATCACAGTATAGAAATTTTGCATCGATAAATTCTGAAGGATTTGTAAGAAATGGTTGAAGGAACTGACTTAATGTTAACTGAGTTAGTTCCCTCAAACATTTCTTACAAATCCTTCAAAACTTAGAATTTATCTGCTCTGATAGCGTATACCATATATGAAGTATTTGAAGATAGAGCTCGACAACTGGCCTCTGTAGCTCAGTTGGTTAGAGCTCGACAACTGTCTCTCTGTAGCTCAGTTGGTTAGAGCTCGACAACTGTCTCTCTGTAGCTCAGTTGGTTAGAGCTCGACAACTATATCTCTGTAGCTCAGTTGGTTAGAGCTTGACAACTGTCTCTCTGTAGCTCAGTTGGTTAGAGCTTGACAACTGTCTCTCTGTAGCTCAGTTGGTTAGAGCTTGACAATTGTCTCTTTGTAGCTCAGTTGGTTAGAACTTGACAACTGTCTCTTTGTAGCTCAGTTGGTTAGAACTTGACAACTGTCTCTCTGTAGCTCAGTTGGTTAGAGCTCGACAACTGTCTCTCTGTAGCTCAGTTGGTTAGAGCTCGACAACTGTCTCTCTGTAGTTCAGTTGGTTAGAGCTCGACAACTGTCTCTTTGTAGCTCAGTTGGTTAGAGCTCGACAACTGTCTCTCTGTAGCTCAGTTGGTTAGAGCTCGACAACTGTCTCTGTAGCTCAGTTGGTTAGAGCTCGACAACTGTCTCTCTGTAGCTCAGTTGGTTAGAGCTTGACAACTGTCTCTTTGTAGCTCAGTTGGTTAGAACTTGACAACTGTCTCTCTGTAGCTCAGTTGGTTAGAGCTCGACAACTGTCTCTCTGTAGCTCAGTTGGTTAGAGCTCGACAACTGTCTCTCTGTAGCTCAGTTGGTTAGAGCTCGACAACTGTCTCTCTGTAGCTCAGTTGGTTAGGGCGCTACACCGGAATTACAGGTTCGATTCCTGCGAGGGACCTAAAGTTGCATTTTTCGCTTGTCTTCCTGGTTTATAGGTCCTATAAATGTATATAAATTTCCACTTGAAAATTTCCGTCTACAATACCTCTCAACTACACCAAACTTTACTGTGTAGGTTTCTTGATAATTTTGAATATTTCCCGAAACATTTTTTTTTGGAAAACAGTCGGTAGTTTGAAGCAAAAATTGAATTTTTATCAAAAGGGCAGCCATTCACCTATGCATGCTATTTTTAATTAAACAAGTTTTTCAAAGTTTTTAAAACGTGTTTATGAATTGAAGGTCATTCGGTTTAATGAAAGAAAAGGTTTTTAACCCAAAAGAAAATGAAAAATATAATGTCCGGGAAACATTTTTATGTTCAGGCGCCTACCCACCCCCACCCCCGCTCGCCAACAATTTTGGGAAAAGAAATATTAATTAGTGGTTGAGATGACTCGGCAAAATTTTACTTACACCCCCCATTAAAGTAGGGCTAGCGACGCCCTTGTTTTGACAATCCTCAGAACGTTTTGGAATAGTTTGAGTGGAATTTAATTTTTTGAAAAAAACTCCAAAGCCAATAGACCGTATATACTGTGCGCAAAATTTCAAATTACAGACTTACTTTTCAGCTGCAAAAAGAGGGTGTTGATGGGGTATATCGTGAGTCGTGATTCTTCTCAATTTCGGTTACTGTCAGTCGTGAAAACACTAAAAATTTAGCGTGAATCGTGACGAAAAAAACACTGTTTATCGTTTCAGAACACTTTTCAAAGATTTACCGTTAAAATACCAAAATGTTACTTATTGTTACCGTTAAAAAACCAAAATTGTTACTGTTTACTGATTTTCAGAACCCCCCCCCCACCTAGACACTCCAAAAAGAATCCTTATTTATTTTTCTTATTTTTACAGTCATCCTACGATATTTCCAAAAATCGACACGATAATACGCAGTACAATGGCCATTCTTCAAATATTAATATCATGTCAGAAATGTGAATAACTTCTGTCCAATATGATCTGGTATCAAAGGCAAATCAGGAATCACTTGCAACATTTCAATATAGTTAGTTTTGTTAGACCTTTTGTATGTGCACGTATAAGCATGTCAACAAGATGTGTTCGCACTGCTTGTTTGCAGTTGTAGTAACATAATAGCTTGATGGAATTATCAGACTTGTTACAAGGTTGTTCAAACAAGTCTGATACAGTCGTGATATAACAAGAATGTTACAAGGTTGACGACACAAGGTTGTAACAATATAGTTGTTACATCGCACTGCTTGCCCCAAGTTGGCAACAACCTTTTGGATATTATCAGATTTGTTGCAAGGTTGTTCCAACAAGTCCGATACAGTCATGGACTGTATCGGACTTGTTGGAACAACCTTGCAACAAGTCTGATAATATCCAAAAGGTTGTTGCCAACTTGGGGCAAGCAGTGCGAACACAACTTGTTGACGACTTGTTGGCAGACTTGCTGCAAGATGTGAGGATTTTTGGCCGTGTCATCAAGATGTGTTCGTACTGCTTGTTTCCAGTTGTTGACAAATCTTGAACAAGTTGTTATTATCTTGTAACAAGGTTGATGAGGCCAACAGACTCGCAACAAGTTGTTCCAACAAGTCTGATATCGTCTGCACGTAACAAGTTGTTAACAAGTTGATGACAACAAGCTCGTAGCAACTTGTTGCGAACAGCCTGTATTAGTCTTCTTGGAACAACTTGTGGCAAGTCTGTTACCGTCATCAACCTTGTAACAAGGTGATAACAAGTTGTTCCAGACTTATCACAACAACTGGGAACAAGCAGTGCGAACACATCCTGATATCGGCTTGACAACACTGTTTACAGACGAATATTTATATGTCACAGTGGCAGAACTACATCTATTTCAAAACAATATATCGATTAATGACGGGAAAACTAATCGAACGGGAAAAGTTGACCATATAGTGAAAATAGAATTTTGAGGTTTGGTAGTTTTTTTTTCTGAAGTAAATTCAGTTTGTGACTACTTCAAAACAATTCGTGGTATATTGGGAAGGTATAATATTACTAGAATTGTTTCATACATTATTAGAAACAAAAGGTATACGGAATTATATACTTTCAGTGTACTGTAAGAAAATATTGTTGAACTGACAAGTTTGTAGTTCAAAATGCTGTATTTACAGCAATCAAAGTATCTATTAAATATATGTGGTGTTTTTTAATGTATTTTGATAGTTGTCTGATATTGAACTGTTTACTACAGTAAGCAGTACCTATACAAGTCCAGTGGATATACACAGATATTTGAGAAAATCATGTACTTTGTGAAGAAAGCACCAAATTCGCAGGAAGTGTAGACTTTAACATAATAATGAATCTTAGATATGGAGGCATCACAAAAATTGATGCTGACGGCTTAAAATTTAGGATTTCTTATATTCTCTTATTAATCTCTCATACAATTAAAAATTGTGAATTTGCAGGTTCACATATAGCAAAAATGACATGCGTCATTAGAAAGCTTACAAAAAACTGCATATAAGACATTTAAGCAGTTACTTTGATTTTCCAACTCCTCTGGAGTTATGAGCGGTTGAAAATATTTTTAGGGCCAGTGTCCAGGACTTTGGCGGGATTTTTGCCTATTTATCACGTTTTTAAATAGGAATAACTGGAAAACCGCTTGGAAAATCAATCAGCCGTTTAAAAGTCTTATATGTAGTTTTTTGTAAGCTTTCTAATCATGCGAGTCATTTTTGCTATATGTGAACCTGCAATTTCACAATTTTAAACAGTAATAGAGTTTAATAAGAGAATATAAGAAATCCTAAATTTTAAGCTGTCAGCATCAATTTTGGTGATGCCTCCATATCTAAGATTCATTATCATGTTAACGTCTACACTTCCTGGGAATTGGGTGCTTTCTTCACAAAGTGCATGCTTTTTTACTTTTCCGCTGGACTATACTGGACCACCACGTTTGAGATATCTTTTTCAGGTAGTTCAGACACAAACCGCGACAGCATATTGTAGAATACTACCTACACTGGACCACCACATTTGAGATATCTTTTTCAGGTAGTTCAGACAAAAACCGCGACAGCATATTGTGGAATACTACCTACACTAGACCACCACGTTTGAGATATCTTTTTCAGGTAGTTCAGACACAAACCGCGACAGCACATAGTCGAATACTACCTACACTGGACCACCACGATAATCAAATTTATATGATCTCACTCGATTGCACAAGAGTAAAAACTTCGGAGGCCTTTCGCGAGGATCCTCACGCTGAGGACAAGGTTCCTGACGCTGAGGACAAGGTTCCTGGCGGTGAGGACAAGGTTCCTGGCGGTGAGGACAAGGTTCCTGGATTCGCAGATATGTTATTAATAACAAATTAAATTATAATTTTCAAATTTTCAATTAGCTTTGCTGTTTTGTTTTAAAATGCATGCGTTTCTTTTTACCTATCATGGACCGCCAGTCCATTACAGGACAATAACGGACTGCTGAAAGTGCTTCTCAGCCGATCACTAATGTTGTTTCATTTTTATTTCAGAGCTTAATTATGACACCAGATGAGGAAATTTGGCACGACAAATGGAAAAAATGGGCAAATTAATGCAATAGAAATTTTTCACAGATGACAGACAAAGGATCTATTATTTTCAAGTACTTTTCAAGTCCCGAGGACTTTGCTTACAAAGTACTACTTTGCTGTGGAATTGAAGCTTTTAGAGAATGCATATTTTGTAAATTATTAGGCTCATCTGCATTTTCTCTCAATTATAGAAATAATGAGTTAATGATTTTAATATTTAGGATTCTAGCGACTTTTTAGAAAAAAAACAGCAAAAAAGTAAGGCTATAGCCTTTACTTTTCGTCCATTTTTAGCAACTTTTTCATCAATGGCCAAAAACCAGCAAAAAAGTAAGGCTATAGTCTTTACTTTTCGTCCATTTTTAGCGACTTTTTTCATTTTTCATAAATGGAAAAAAAACAACAAAAAGGTAAGGCTATAGCCTTTACTTTTCGTCCATTTTTAGTGACTTTTTCCATAAATGGCAAAAAAACAGCCAAAAAGTAAGGCTATAGCCTTTACTTTTCGTCCATTTTTAGCGACTTTTTTCATTTTTCATAAATGGAAAAAAAACAACAAAAAGGTAAGGCTATAGCCTTTACTTTTCGTCCATTTTTAGACTTTTCTTTACTTTTCGTCCATTTTTAGCAACTTTTTCATCAATGGCCAAAAACCAGCAAAAAAGTAAGGCTATAGTCTTTACTTTTCGTCCATTTTTAGCGACTTTTTTCATTTTTCATAAATGGAAAAAAAACAGCAAAAAAGTAAGGCTATAGCCTTTACTTTTCGTCCATTTTTAGCAACTTTTTCATCAATGGCCAAAAACCAGCAAAAAAGTAAGGCTATAGCTTTACTTTTCGTCCATTTTTAGCGACTTTTTTCATTTTTCATAAATGGAAAAAAAACAACAAAAAGGTAAGGCTATAGCCTTTACTTTTCGTCCATTTTTAGTGACTTTTTCCATTTTTAATAAATGGCCAAAAAACAGTAAAAAAGTAAGGCTATGGCCTTTACTTTTCGTCCATTTTTAGCGACTTTTCCCATTTTTCATAAATTGCAAAAAAAACAGCCAAAAAGTAAGGCTATAGCCTTTACTTTTCGTTCATTTTTAGCGACTTTTTTCATTTTTCATAAATGGCGAAAAAACAGCCAAAAAGTAAGGCTATAGCCTTTACTTTTCGTCCATTTTTAGTGACTTTTTTCATTTTTCATAAATGGCGAAAAAACAGCCAAAAAGTAAGGCTATAGCCTTTACTTTTCGTCCATTTTTAGTGACTTTTTTCATTTTTCATAAATGGCGAAAAAACAGCCAAAAAGTAAGGCTATAGCCTTTACTTTTCGTCCATTTTTAGTGACTTTTTCCATTTTTAATAAATGGCCAAAAAACAGTAAAAAAGTAAGGCTATGGCCTTTACTTTTCGTCCATTTTTAGCGACTTTTCCCATTTTTCATATATTGCAAAAAAAACAGCCAAAAAGTAAGGCTATAGCCTTTACTTTTCGTCCATTTTTAGCGACTTTTTCCATTATTCATAAATGGCGAAAAAACAGCCAAAAAGTAAGGCTATAGCCTTTACTTTTCGTCCATTTTTAGTGACTTTTCCCATTATTCATAAATGGCTAAAAAAAAAACAGCAAAAAATAAGGCTATAGCCTTTACTTTTCGACCATTTTTAGCGACTTTTTTCATTTTTCATAAATTGCAAAAAAAACAGCAAAAAAGTAAGGCTATAGCCTTTACTTTTCGTCCATTTTTAGCGACTTTTTCATAAATGGCTAAAAAAAAACAGCAAAAAATAAGGCTATAGCCTTTACTTTTCGACCATTTTCAGCGACTTTTTTCATTTTTCATAAATGGCTAAAAAAAAACAGCAAAAAAGTAAGGCTATAGCCTTTACTTTTCGTCCATTTTTAGTGACTTTTCCCATTTTTCATAAATTGCCAAAAAAACAGCCAAAAATATAGCCTCACTTGTTTTATGTTTTTTGGCCATTTATGAAAAATGAAAAAAGTCACTAAAAATGAGCCTCACTTTTTTGATGTTTTTTGGCCAATTATGAAAAATGAAGAAAGTCGCTAAAAATGGACGAAAAGTATAGCCTTTACTTTTCCTCCATTTTTAGTGACTTTTTTCATTTTTCATAATTGGCCAAAAAACATCAAAAAAGTGAGGCTATAGCCTTTACTTTTCGTCCATTTTTAATGACTTTTTTCATTTTTTATAAATGGCGAAAAAACAGCAAAAAAGTAAGGCTATAGCCTTTACTTTTCGTCCATTTTTAGCGACTTTTTCCATTATTCATAAATGGCTAAAAAAACAGCAAAAAATAAGGCTATAGCCTTTACTTTTCGTCCATTTTTAGCGACTTTTCCCATTTTTCATAAATTGCAAAAAAACAGCCAAAAAGTAAGGCTATAGCCTTTACTTTTCGTCCATTTTTAGTGACTTTTTTCATTTTTCATAAATGGCCAAAAAACATCAAAAAAGTGAGGCTATAGCCTTTACTTTTCGTCCATTTTTAGTGACTTTTTTCATTTTTCATAAATGGGCAAAAAAACATCAAAAAAGTAACATCAAAAAAGTGAGGCTATAGCCTTTACTTTTCGTCCATTTTTAGTGACTTTTTTCATTTTTCATAAATGGGCAAAAAAACATCAAAAAAGTAAGGCTATAGCCTTTACTTTTCGTCCATTTTTAGCGACTTTCCATTTTTCATAAATGGGCAAAAAACAGCAAAAAAGTAAGGCTATAGCCTTTACTTTTCGTCCATTTTTAGCGACTTTTTTCATTTTTCATAAATGGGCAAAAAAACAGCCAAAAAGTAAGGCTATAGCCTTTACTTTTCGTCCATTTTTAGCGACTTTTCCCATTTTTCATAAATTGCAAAAAAACAGCCAAAAAGTAAGGCTATAGCCTTTACTTTTCGTCCATTTTTAGCGGCTTTTTTCATTTTTGCTGCCGCAGCGAGCGAGCCTGAAGCGAGCGAGCAAGGCAGCAGATCCTAATTTTGTTTTGTGGGTCGAAATCAAAATTTTCCATTTGGCGCATTGCATGACGCTATGATTTAACGATTCCTTAAATTTGGTATGTGGTTGACAACTGCTTTTTGCCTATGGTCTGCAAGGACAATGACATGCTTGATGCTTTTCTGTGTATATAAATGAATATAACGCAGCGAATGCGCCAAGCAGTATAAACGCGGCTGAAATACGGTATTTAATAAAATCTTGAATGTGCCGTATGATTTAATTATGTTTTAGGATTTACAAATGCTTTGTCATTTGTATTTATACTTGTACTGCATCACAAGGCAGTACGTAAGTGAACAAATTCCACATGTGAGATTGTCTTGTATATATTTTTGCTTTCTTTGATAAACATTATTAAACACGCAAACTTTAATTAGTGAGACGCAATGTTAAATGTCACTTGCATGTCATTGTCATTGACCTTTAACCCCTGGTCTAATTGGCCGCTTTTGAAAATGTTGATCATGCCGCACTGCCTTAATTATGCAAACTTTGTGTTTTAAAAACGGGTAGGATAAAACGCGGATACGGATGGACGGATGAATGACGGACGGACCGGACGGATGACATATATATGTCATTATATAATCTGCGCGCAGCCGCGCAGGGTAGTTAGTGGCTTACTTCGCTGGTTGTTATACTTTAAAATAATTTTGAAAATACCGAGAAATCAATATTCCGAGTATATAAATATATAAACTGGGATGTTACACTGATAGCTTGTTTACATTTCCTGGAGCATCAAATCTTATGTTTAACCACGGTGTAAATGGGTTACAACCTACTGCCAATGTTCTTGTTAATCCATCAGCACAGTAATACCCCTACTTTAGTATTTACCCTGTCCAACGCCAGACGATTTTTAATACTCAGTCAGTGGTGGGGTACTATCAATAAATGGGTTAACCTGCAAGGATAACAATAATAGGATGTTTCTGAAGGACTCGTTCAACACCCTGTAGTTTGTCTTTTGCTGTCGAAGGCAGCATTACTGCCCTGTGGGTAACCTAGTTCATGAATGAATGAATGAATGAATGAAAAACTTTATTTTACGAGGGTAGTGCTTAGGTGCATAGTCTGCTCCATGGGCACGTTGTGAGACAGGAGGCACGACGAGTCGCGCCACTATTCTTGTTCGCGTAAGTCGTCCAGAGAAAGGAATCATTATTATTATTATTATTATTATTAAATTATTAAAACTTTATTTACACACGGTATTCTCATCAGGATTTAACATGCAACAAACTAAATTAGATAAATTACAAAAGTAGAACCACGCTAAAGTAAATAGAAAATATAATACCTGCTTTTCATGAGGGCCGTGTACTAAGCTAATATAACAATATATACAAGGAAAGTTAAAATAATTTGCGTTCTAGCACGAATTCTGATTTAGAGGCGTTCAATCATAATCCAACAGATGGTAGCTTCGCACCAATATTATTCGCAATATTATGCTATTTCGAACCTTATGTTCTATTAAATTTGGAGGCTCCTGGAGCAGAAACTAGAATTTGGGCCGGCCTGAAAATTGTTTTCTTGTAATCTACAGGCCATAGGCTTTCTGCCGATACCCTATTCGTGCATCGGTAGGCCGTACGTGGAAATAAAAGAGCAGATGTTTCCAGCTAATCGAAAAAGACGTGAAAGTTAATATTATGCTGTTTGGAACCTTATATGTTCTATTGAATTTCAAGGCCCCTGCAGTAGCAGAAACGAGAATTTGGCACGGTCAGAAAATTGTATTTTCGGAATCTACGGTTCATAGGCTGTCTGACGATGCCTTATTCGTGCATCAGTAGACGACCGTGGACATACAAAGCAGGTTTTTCCAACTGCATGTGTAATCGAAAAAGACGTGAAAGTTAATATTATGCTGTTTGGAACCTTATATGTTCTATTGAATTTCAAGGCCCCTGTAGCAGAAACGAGAATTTGGCACGGTCAGAAAATTGTATTTTCGGAATCTACGGTTCATAGGCTGTCTGACGATGCCTTATTCGTGCATCAGTAGACGACCGTCGACATACAAAGCAGGTTTTTCCAACTGCATGTGTAATCGACAAAGACGTGAAAGTTAATATTATGCTATTTCGAACCTTATGTTCCATTAAATTTGGAGGCTCCTGTACCAGAAACTAGAATTTGGGCTGGCCTGAAAATTGCTTTTCTGTAATCTACCGGCCATCGGCTTTCTGTCGATACCTTATTCGCGCATCGGTAGGCCGTACGTGGAAATAAAAGAGCAGGTGTTTCCAGCTGTGTAATCGAAAAAGACGTGAAAGTTAATATTATGCTGTTTGGAACCTTATATGTTCTATTGAATTTCAAGGCCCCTGTAGCAGCCTTATATGTTCTATTGAATTTCAAGGCCCCTGTAGCAGAAACGAGAATTTAGCACGGTCAGAAAATTGTATTTTAGGAATCTACGGTTCATAGGCTGTCTGACGATGCCTTATTCGTGCATCAGTAGACGACCATGGACATACAAAGCAGGTTTTTCCAACTGCATGTGTAATCGAAAAAGACGTGAAAGTTAATATTATGCTGTTTGGAACCTTATATGTTCTATTGAATTTCAAGGCCCCTGTAGCAGTAACGAGAATTTGGCACGGTCAGAAAATTGTATTTTAGGAATCTACGGTTCATAGGCTGTCTGACGATGTCTTATTCGTGCATCAGTAGACGACCGTGGACATACAAAGCAGGTTTTTCCAACTGCATGTGTAAACGAAAAAGACTCTACGGGCCATAGGCTTTCTGCCGATACCTTACCCGTGCATGGGTATGCCGTACGTGGAAATAAAAGAGCAGGTGTTTCCAGCTGTGTAATCGAAAAAGACGTGAAAGTTAATATTATGCTGTTTGGAACCTTATATGTTCTATTGAATTTCAAGGCCCCTGTAGCAGAAACGAGAATTTAGCACGGTCAGAAAATTGTATTTTAGGAATCTACGGTTCATAGGCTGTCTGACGATGCCTTATTCGTGCATCAGTAGACGACCGTGGACATACAAAGCAGGTTTTTCAACTGCATGTGTAATCGAAAAAGACGTGACCTTATATGTTCTATTGAATTTCAAGGCCCCTGTAGCAGAAACGAGAATTTGGCACGGTCAGAAAATTGTATTTTAGGAATCTACGGTTCATAGGCTGTCTGACGATGTCTTATTCGTGCATCAGTAGACGACCGTGGACATACAAAGCAGGTTTTTCCAACTGCATGTGTAAACGAAAAAGACGTGAAAGTTAATATTATGCTATTTCGAACCTTATGTACTATTAAATTTGGAGGCTCCTGTAGCAGAGACTGGAATTTGGGCTGGCCAAAAAATTGTTTTTTTGTAATCTACGGGCCATAGGCTTTCTGCCGATACCTTACTCGTGCATGGGTATGCCGTACGTGGAAATAAAAGAGCAGGTGTTTCCAGCTGTGTAATCGAAAAAGACGTGAAAGTTAATATTATGCTGTTTGGAACCTTATATGTTCTATTGAATTTCAAGGCCCCTGTACGGTGAGGACAAG